ACCGTGCTACCATGCTCGATCTGAAAATCAAAAGCTTTTGCTGCTTATTGTCCCCCGACTTAAACACACCATCCCAAGGCTCAATTCTTCTACTCTCAGTCATACGGAGAGTTGCAGGGTGTGGTACTGCACCGATATCCCCTGATGAGGTCTGGAGGCGACCGGCCATGGCAGTCGCAATCGCGTTGGCCAGCTCGTCTGCGGAGGGGTTGGGCGATGGGCCCCCAGTCGCTTGCTGGTGTGGTACCCCTTTTTCCTCGTTCCCGCTCCGGAGATCTTCTGTGCTCAGCTGCTCGGCTCGTTGCCGTACCTCCATCTCGGCCATCTTCTTGGCCAGTTTCTCCTCCATCATCTGCTCCATCCGAGCTGCTACTCTCTCGTTGACCAGTTCTTCGATCCTGGCTTCCTCCGCTGCTTGGTGGGCCTTCGCTGCTTGGCGGGCCTCCGCTGCTCGGCGGGCCTCCGCTGCTTGGCGGGCTTCATCTTCGCGCCTGGTAGCCATCTTTACCCTGCTCTCTATCGCCGCAAAGCGATGCTCCTAAACCAAGCTCGACCGCGAATCTCGTAGACGACGTGTCATACGCTAGCGTGATCGATAATTCGGGTGGCTCGATTCTTTGTGGTTGGAGCTCAAAGCGGGTGGCTCATGGCGGAGCGTGGATGGGCAGAAACGTGTTGAAAACGTGTTGCAAAGTATAGGATTAATCGGGGGCGTGCCAGTGCTCGTCGAACGATCACGGCATTTGGTCACGCCTTCACTCTTTGTCACTCAACGAATCTCTCTGAACCTTCACCAAATACCTCTCGCAACCAAGGAACATATGTAGAAAGTTCCTATTCTTCCGCATCTCATCACTGTAACTTTCGTACGTACGTACATAACATCTCAACCGTTATACTATGCTACGTGTACCCCCAATATATCTAATATCTTCTTCCTGTATTATTTCTACGGAAGGCTGGTTGCCGCAGTCGCACCTATGGTAGACTGTGCCTGACAACGTTGTAACAGTTTTCCTCGACACGACCCCTCTATTAAGCAAGTAGCCGATGTTCCAAAACTTCACTTCGCCGCCATTTTTGCGACCCCTCGATTCCCAATCCATATCAAAGAATATCGACCTCCACATGAGTGAATCCATCCTGTGAGCAATACACGCGTTCAAAACATTCAACCATACTATGCGATCTTGTGCTTAATATCTTCTAGCACTTGTAGTCCTTGACGAGTTGCATGATGGTGGCGAATCGCTGCTTGGGGAAACGTTTCGTCGCGATGTCCACCAACACCGTGGCACTAGGTTGGTGGTGAAGAGTGATCCGGTGCCC